ACTTTATGCGAAAACGACACATCATGAATGGTACGCCGTTTACTTAGCTTTCGTAAGTTAAGATATTTAACTAGTGATTCGTAACTATAATAACAGCGACGATTAAAGTATCTATCGTACGCAATTCGAACCAGACGCTCCTGAACTTTTTCAATTTCATTGCAGTGATTCACAGAAAAGGAGTTCCACACCACGGAACTGAATTCAAGTCTTGGTCGAACCAAGGAACAAAACAAATGAACCAAACATCTGTAAAGCGCGAAACACATGTACGACGAAACCGTCCGATCCGACGTCCGACCGCGCAATACGACGGTCGGAGGCGAGGGTTTTCAACGCTCTCCGATGCTACGAAAACCCTCTCCCCCCAAGGTCATTCCGGCAGTCCGCACGTCGGATCGGAAGGTTTCGTCGTACATGTGTTTCGCGCTTTACTCGAAAACTCCCGCGTCATACGTGAAATCAGCCCCAGTACACGTAGGGAAGTACCCACCATTGAAGTGACGTGTTCTTTGAATAAGTTATTCTATCACCGATTGATCTATTATGAGCTAAATCACTTTAATATTTATCTTGATTACTTCGAGTTACTTTTGATACAACGAACTTTAATTCGACTTACAGTACATTTTAATGGCTTTTTTGATTACCTTGTGCTCATATTCGACCAATTGATTTATTATAAACCTAGATGACGTAATGATTCCTCCTTTTGACTACTTTGAGTGACTATATTGACTTAATGAACCTTCATCCGGCTCACTATACAGCTTGGTGACTTTTTTTTATTACTTCGAATTATAAAGCCAATTAAGCTATTATGAGCGGAATTTACAGTAATATTACTCTTTGATTACTTTGAGTTACGTTTGACCCAACTGAATTTAATGCGGCCTATGTTACATGGTGTTGCCTCTTTTGATTACTTTTTATAATATTTAATTGATTTATTAAGAGAATAGTTGACATTATGATTACTCTGTTTGTTACTTTGAGTTACTACTGACCCAATATACTTTAATTCGGCATAAATGTCATTTTGATGATTCTCTTGATTACTTCGAACTATACCATAATTTGATCTATTATGAGCTGAAATAACATTCTTTTTACTCTTTTCATTACTACGAGTTAATGGTAGCTTAATTCACTGCAATAACTTTTTATTACTATGAGGAATACGCAACCAATTGATGTATTTTGATTAACTATTAACTAAGTAATCAAAAGTGTAATAATAAAGTGAACTGAGCTCATAATAGAGCGATTGGTTATATAATATCTCTAAGTGATCAGCAGAGTCAACCAAAATGTCAATTATGCCGAAATATAATCAATTGGGTCAATAGTAACTGAAAGGGCTCATAATAAATTGATTAGCTGAATATTAGCTCAAAGTATTCAAAATGGTCATCACAATGTCAATTAGGCCGAATTAAAGTGAACTGGATCAATACTAACTCAGAGTAATCAGAATAGTAATCATAATTACAACTAGGCTTATAATTAAGCATTTAGTTGAATATTAGCTCAAAGTAATCAAAACTGTCATCACAATGCCGATTAGTCCGGATAACAGTCTATTCTGTCAAAAGTAACTCGAAGTACAAAAAAGAGTAATAATAATGTGGACTCAGCTTGTAATAGATGAAGTGGTGGTATAGTAACTCGAAGTAATCGAGAGTCCCAAAAATGCCAATTAGGCAGAATCAAACTTAATTGGGTCAGAACTAACTCAAAGTAATAAAATAGTAATCACAATATCAATTTGGCTCATAATAAATAATTCGAATGAATATTGCCTCAATGTAATCAAAAGAGTCATCAGAATGTCAATAAACCATATCAAAATCTATGGGTCAAAAGTAACTCGAAGTAGTCAAGAGTAATAATATTGTGAATTGAGCTCATGATAGATCAACTATTTGCATAATAACTCGAAGTAATCCCAGAAGCTTCACAATGTCAATTAGCTGACATAAAGTCTATTGAGTAAGTAATAACTCAAAGTAATCAAACTACTAATCATCACATCAATTAAGCTTATAACAAATCAACTGCCTGAATATTAGCTCAATGTAACCAAGTCAAGATATCAATTAGGGCCAATTAAAATTCATTGGCTCAATAGTAACTTAAAGTAATCAAAAGAGTGATTATATTGTGACTCGTGGTCATAAGAAATCGGTTAGTCTATCATTTGCTGTAAGTAATGTCAGGAGTTATCTTGATGCCAATTAGATCGAATCAAACTCTATCAAATCAATAATAAGTCCAAGTAATCGAATGAGCAATCAAAATGGTAATTGAATTGAGAATAAATCAGTCAGTTGCATAAAGCTCAAAGTAATATTGAGTCAAGTTTGTGCCAATTGGACAAATATAAAGTCAAGTAGGTCACTAGTTACTCAAAGTAATCAAGATGTGAATAATGCTGATATAAACTCAGTTGTGTGACTAATATTTTGTAGAAAGATAAAAAGTCGCCACTAAGTTAATTGAGGTCATTTAAAGTCAATTGGGTGACTAGTAGCATGGAGTAATCAAAGGAGTAATCCAAATCTTAAGTGAACTTTTATGTAGTCGCATTTGCCAATCATATTACAGAGTAATCGAAATTTTGTTTTTATAAAGATATTTGTGTCAATAATACCTGTATAACCAAAGCGTAACCAGAAAGCCAAACGAGCTTCTACGAAGTTATAATTGTGTCAATAATTCCTCGAAGTAATCGAGGGAAAAGTCCAAAGTGTTTGCTCAACTTTTATACTGTAATTCGTGTTAATTATGGGTCGAAGTAAGTAGAATTGCAAACCATAACTTCATTAAGCTTTAAATAAAGTCAGAAGTGTCAATAATAGCGCGAAGCAATCTAAAGAGCAATCGCAAACTACAATTTCACTTTTGTTATCTCAATTATATCAACAATAAGTCGGAACTGATAACATAGAGTAAACTAAACGTCAATTCAGCTAAAATAAAGTCGAGTACGCCACTAAGAACTCCAGGTTACCAAAATAGTAATTAACATGTCAATTAAGCTAAGTCAATCATGCGACTAGTAACTCCAAGTAATCGAAATAGTGATAAAAGTAGTTTTCCCAAGCAAAGTCGAATTCGATAAACAATTACTCTAGTTATCAAAAGTGAAAACGAAACGTGACCACCATAGAGGCAAATAAACACGTATGTGGATTAAATTCACTGACGCCGTGACTAAATTGGGTGACACTGGGATTAAATTGGACGGCGCTTGCATTAAATAGGATGGCACTCGGATTAAATTGACCGTTGATTGGAATAAAATGAGCGGGAAAACCTGTAGATGGCGTTCCACCGTATTCTATATGGAACACACAGTTATGACACGACAATCTAGATGGCGCATCGAACGACGGGAGGCGGAATGAGGTCAGTGAGGGGTACCTATAGGGACCTTAGGGGTACACCCTTCCGCTGGATTTCTACAACTGAGGTAATCTAGTAACGTTGCCGTACGGCTGATGATTAGTGTTGCGCTCCCTCTGGCAGATAGTTTTCGGGTTTTGCCGTGGGACTTCCAAAACCAAACTTTAAGCCGTGATATTTATAAAGCTACACACAATATCGAGAAAAAAATATATACCTCATAATTCAGGGACACTGCATTAGCTGAAAACAGTCATAATTCCAAATTAAAAAAAAATATTGACCGAAGTTGACCCTTAAATAATTGAGTTGTTTGTATATCTATAACGAAGGCAGTTATTGATCCTCAGCGGGCGTTAAGAGTCTCCGCTCTAGATGAGGCATTTAGCCAGTGCAGTATGGCTGCTAGCCTGGGGTCATTAATATGGATCACGCAGTAAGGTCCAGATCGAAACGGGCAGAGGTGATGATTGAACACAGGGTGCCTAGGTTCTGCAACGCGAGCTTTCGCTCCGCGTGCTCTTAGCTGCGGTGGACTAACAGTATGGGTCACCGATCATCCTTCCACATTCTTCAGCTAAACGCGTGGTGTGCTCTCGAACTTTCTTCACAACTAATTACGCTTGGTTCAAAATAGCGGACACAGTATACCCTTGAGGATCTAGAGACGTAATTTGCTTCTTCGTGGTGTTGCAAAGTGAAACCGCGAAGGGCATCTGGTTACGCCGTAAGGCGGTATTCAAATTAAAAAAAAAAAGTGCCAGCGTGATATATTCATCATGATGCGTGCTACAACACGGTCTCTTGGGAAGTGTGGTTTTTTTTTGTATCAAGCTAGCTAATCAGCGAGTTAATCGCTGACGGTGTTTGTGGTAAAAAAAATAACGGTCTCGCGGTTGGTTGTTTTTTTGGTAGAGGCCGGTTGTTTGCAGGAGCACAGAAGTTTTCTCTCGAGATTATTCCGAGCAGGAATTTGATGTTCTTATAAGCGTTAAGGAGCTCGTATCGCAGAAATGCCTGCTGGTGGCGTGACGGGAAAATCCTGATTGGTCGATAAGGTCATGACATCACAGCCGCATGACGTCGCGCGGGAATTTCAAAGAACCCACAAGGCTCGCCACTCACGTGAAACGTGACGTCACGCGTGGAATGAAAGTGGCGAAAAAGCATGGCATGTAATGCGAATTAAAGGTCGACGCATGTCTTAAATAATTTCACTTTATAAAGTAAATAATTTGCTTCAAATGAAAACTTCGAAGAACTTTAAGCGGGATTTGAGCCTACGTCCCTTCGTTTGCGGGCCACACAGGCTACTGACAAGGCTATGTCCGTCACACTTCCTGCTGACTGACGGGAAAAGCATGATAAGCGAATGAGAAGGCGATGCGAACAAGTCCCGATAGCGCTATCGCGTTCCATTTTTAAAGGGCAAGCTTTTTTATTCTGACTCGAGAAACTTTATGTCGCGTCATTTTGACTTCGTGGCCAGGCTTAGCGTAAAGAAATATCTTGGTCTACTAATAACCCTCGTAGACAGGTCACAATACTTAAGAAGACAAGATCATCTACTGACTAAATTTCACAAGCAACACTGTTTAACCCATTAATGCCCCATGTTGCATATCTGCAACACAGACTTCAACTGCTCAAGAAAAATACATCGGGCCCATTTTGTGACAAAAAGTTGTCAGTGCTCTTCTCAGTGGGCATTTCTCAATCCAAGGAGTTCAGATTTTCACCACTAGGGGCAGCGCTGTGCTCGCAGGAATCGTTTGAAAATGGCGTCCTCCACGCCGTGCGGGAGTTCTCAAAACCAGGTATGTTTACATTTCCACAAAGAACCTAAAACTGAAAATAGGAGCTCTATATTACCGGAGGAGCCTCTAGGAATGTCCTTCGCGTGAATCGCATGCAGAATCTCGCATTTCATACATTATATGAAGCTGGATATTTTTTATTCCTGGCATGTTGCAAATGTGCAACAGTGGGCAGTGAATGTCACTTCACACGGTTGTTGCATATATGCAACATTCGCTTTTTTTTCAATTTTCGCTACAATTTTGTTGTTCGGTTAGGTAATACCTTTCAGCTGTCATTTCGGGATGTTGTTTCACTCTTGGTAATTTGTTCTTATCCCATCTACAGGCCGTCATTGCACCTTCAGCCTTCTATGGTGTGCCAAGGACAAGACCAAAGCGGTTCCTTGGAAATGACAACCTGCTGGACAACATCGATTGCAACGAGAGTGATCTCTCGGGTGAAAGCAGCAGCGAAGAATGCGAAGCAATCACTGAAGATAGCAGCGATGAAGACGTCGAGAGCACTGACGCTAATGTTGAGACAGGAGTTGCTAAGGGGGACCTGAAAGGAGCCTATGCGAACAAACGCTACACATGGAAAAAATGTGCGTTTGACCAAGCTGGCACAGACTTTGAAAATGACTTCCCTCTGCCTCCTGCTGAACCCCTGTCAGCGAAGCAGCTTTTTGACCTGTTTGTTTCGAGGAGCATGCTGGGACACGTTGTCGAAGAAACCAACAACTACTATATGCAGAAGCACGGAACACCCCTAAACATGACAGTCGAAGAGCTCACCTCGGTTCTAGGAATGTTTTTTCGCATGGGACTTGTGGATATGCACAATGTACGTGCCTACTGGGAACATGGAAGCCGCTATGAGCTGGTTGCACAGGTGATGTCGCGCAATCGATTTGAGAAGATTGCTGGTCACTTGCATTTTGCTGACAACGACGGTGCAACAGACGAAGTGAAACAAGACAAATGCTGGAAGCTGCGACCATGGCTGTCAGCACTGCGGGGAAACATGCTGAAAATACCTCAGGAATGCAAGTCATCCGTCGACGAAATTTTGATTCCTTTTCGTGGAAGGTCGCAAATTCGTCAGTACCTTCCAAACAAGCCGAAGTGCAAGTGGGGCCTCAAGCTCTGGGCTCGTGCTGGCGAGTCTGGACTTTGTTACGACTTTGACATCTACCAGGCATGCAGCAAGGGAGCCTACGGAGACCAAGAAGGATATCAGTTAGGCCTTGGTGCGGGAGTGGTGCTTCAGTTGTGTTCAAGTCTCCCTGAACGGGACAACAATCTCATCGTTGCTGACAACTTTTTCACGGGACCACACTTAGTTTGCGAGCTAACGCGGAGGGGTATCTCGTACATTGGAACTGTGAGAGAGAACAGACTGCAGTCGTGCAAACTAATGGATGAGAAGGCAATGAAGATGCAAGGTCGTGGCACGTGTGATTCATGTGTCGCATCATGTGGTGACAGAAGCATGATAGCTGTAAAGTGGTTCGACAACAGACCGGTCACACTTCTTTCTAACTGCACTGGTGTGGAACCGGTCACCTCTGTAGAGAGATGGGACAAGAAAGAGAAGTCTCGCATCTCAGTTGAATGTCCAGCAATTGTACCCGAGTACAACAGATCGATGGGTGGTGTTGACCTACTAGACAAGATGTGCTACAGCTACAGGTTTTCCATACGCTCGAAGCGGTGGTACATGTACATATTTTGGCACACCGTCAAAATTGCTGCTGTGAATGCGTGGTTTCTGCACAAGCGTCACTCACTGCAGCAAAGGGAATCTTCCAAGCCTCTGCGAGAATTTCTTGCGGACCTTGCCACGAGCTTGGTTTTGTACAGGAAGCGTCCGCCTGGCCGCCTTTCTCGAGAGAATCTTCCCTTGGTGAAGCGGGCGTCACCACAAGTTCCACGCGACGTAAGAGGCGATGGTAGCCATCATTGGCCCATTTGGATGGACCGCCGCAACAGATGCAAGTTGTGCACAGGAGGCTACAGCTACGTCGCTTGCTCAAAGTGCAATGTTCACTTGTGCATAAACAAAGACCGGAATTGTTTCGTCGATTTCCATCGGGGTTAGGTAACTTATCCATGCTAGGAAGCACGTCTTTCTATGTTTTGTTCATCACTGCTGTGCCTTGTTTGATAAAATAAACTTCTTATATATGGCTAATATTTTGAGATATTCACTTACTGCCCAGTGTTGCAGATATGCAACAAGCTATAGTAGACAATTCGTAGCACTTATGAAATTTTTTTTGGCCCCTGTGTCTATATTTATGTTCAGTGACCCTGTATTCAATATATTTTTCAAATACTCTCACTATTTTTTGCACTGGGAAGCAATGGGTTAAAATGGCGGTGCAACGATTTTAGTACTTTGCGCAAATACCGCTTAAAACGGGTCCCAGACGTTTCTCTCTTACAAAAGTTTTTGGAAGAGAGAAAGAGGGGGCCAAAGTACGTGTGGTGAAGTCAAGGAATGATTTGGAAAAGTTTGAGTAGTTTTTTTCGTTCGCATTTAAAGGCTGGTTATTCTGCTTTATACCGTGAGTGACGACGATTATTTGTTACATAAAGAAGTTTGGCTCATCTTCACGGAGCAAACAAAAGTGCATTTTTCTTTATTTCACTTAAATGTGCAATCAGTTCGGAATAAATTTTATGAACTAAATATATTTTTGGACAGTTTCAGTTTTCGATTTGATGTCATCATGCTTACAGAAACGTGGTATAAAAATACTGGTGAGGTGGATAGATTGGAGGGTTACAATATATTCAATTTAAATTGTAGTGGGGTATAGCTACCCCACTACGATCGTAAGAGGGAATCGTAAGAGGGGGTATAGCTATGTATGTAAAAAAACACTTCAAATGTTCTGTTATTACTGATTTCACTATAATTTCAAATGACTACGAAATCTTAACTTTGCAACATGAAAAATCTGTATATTCAGTAGTTTATCGTCCGCCTTGTGAGAATATTCCTTTTTTTTTTTTAAATCCTTGAAGTGTTTTTTCGGTTTATTGGTGAAAACGGCTTTATACCTCGGTGGCGACTTAAACATAGATATGCATGCTCCCTCTTATCATAAACAAGAAATGATGTCTTTATATCAATCGTATGCGTTGTCTAATGTTATTCTTCAACCTACTCGTGTAACACCTGCACACGAGGCGTTACTAGACTCATTTTTAACAAACCTTTCTATTTCGGAAGTAATTGCCGGAGTAGTTGGAGAAACAATTAGTGATCACCTTCCGATATATCTAATTTCTAATGTGAGCTATAACTTAAAAGAAACTTGTTGTCTTGAATATAAGCGCTAAAAACCTTAAACTATTTGAACACCATATGAATTCTGTAAGCTGGAGGGCGGTACTGTCCAGCGTGTCGGCAGATGAGGCGTTTGACTGTTGTCTTGAACAGTTTAGAATCGTGTACGACCTCTGATTTCCTTACAAATTGCAAAATGTTTCCCGGAAATCTCGTAAATCATGGGTTACGACAGAAATATTAAGAATTATAAATAATAAAGAAAAAATCTTTACCACCAATTTGCACACTAAAGACGCAAGTATATTGTCTAAATTAAAGAAGGAACGAAATCAGCTAACAAAGAATTTAAGGCAAGCTAAACGTGCTTATTTTAACATTTTATTTCTAGATACTAAGCGACCAGATGTTATGTGGAAAAGTTGAATGGCATAATTAAGCAAGGATTGTATGGGCGTCGGATCAGAGAAATAAAAATCGGAGGTGTTAACCTAACGGGTTTCGCTTTAGCGGAAACTTTCAATGAGTATTTTTGTTAATTTTGTTCAAAGTGTACCCTATGCGGATGCTTCTAGATTTGTGCAGAGTATTTTTCCTAGTCTCTTCTTCTTCCCAACTGACGAAGATAAGGTTTACTCAGTTTTCCAAAATTTAAAGAATAGTAAAAGCGCTGATATATATGACCTTCAAATTAAACCTGTAAAATATGTATTGCGGTGCAGTGCTCCTTGTCTGACGTATATTTTTAATGTGGCACTAGAAAATGGAACTTTTCTAAAAAAACATGCAGGTGCCAAAAGTAACGGTACTGTACAAAAGTGGGGAAAAAACAACTTGGGAAATTTTAGGCCAGTGTCTGTTTTACCAGTATTTTCTAAAGGACTAGAAAAGATTATACATAACAGGTTGTATAGTTTTTGTGAGAAAAAGTCTATTCTTACCGATTCTCAATATAGATTTAGAAAAGGTATATCTACAGAACTCGCATTATTAAAGCAAAAGGAGTTAGTCTTAAGCAATATAGAAAATAAGCTGTTAACACTTGGAGTATTTATAGACTTTTCAAAGGCTTTTGACCGCCTCAATCATTATACTTTGCTCCAAAAGCTTTATATGCACGGTGCGCGTGGTAGACCTCTAAGTATAGTTAAAAGTTATCTCTACCTGTGCGTTCAAATAGATAAAAAGCGATCTCAATTGCAGCCATTAAGAGCTGGAGTGCCACAAGGTAGTGTTTTGGGACCACTCCTCTTTAATTTGTATGTCAATGACATAGTACATATTGATGACAATGTACGTTTTATTATTTACGCGGATGATACCAGAGTATTTTTTTAGGTACGAATACTGAGCAGGTTATAAGTACTGCAAATAAATTTCTAGATAAATTAAATACTTGGACAGTGTCTAATTCTTTGCAAATTAATTGTAGTAAAACTAAAACCGTTTTTTTTAGAGCAAGAAATACGAATTGCTTTCGTACCTCTGCTCTTTCCATCGGTAACCATAAGAGAGATATAGCCGAAAGTGTTAGAGTTTTGGGTGTAATATTTAATCAATACATGCTATTTGATGAAATGGTACATTATACATGTCAAAAACTATCAGTGGTCGTAGGCGTTATGTACAAACATCGCCATCTACTCCCAATGTCAGCAATGCTTCTTATATATCATTCTTTATTTTACGTGCATTATAATTACTGCTTCTTGTTTTGGGGGAATACAATGTCTACAAATTTTAAGCAGATACAAATTCTGCAAAAAAGGTGTGCGTATTATATGCCATGCTGCATACGATGCCCATACAATACCATTTAAAAAAAAATACTTAATATTGTACAGATTCAAAATTTCTATAATTATAAACTTTGTATTACCTATAACAAGTCTTTTCATCACAGCGAAAACGTATTTCTGTCTATCTCACAGATTACAATTAAGGACACGATTTATGCTACACGCAGCGCGGATACGTGGCTAGTGCCGCACTCCAGAACAAATTATGGAATTCAGATGTTGCGAAATACTCTTCCTCATTTTTTTAAATCGTTTGGGGGAATTAAACATAGAACTTTTGACTTTGGTAAACAAATATTTGCTTTCATTTTTTGTTCAGCCTTCAGTGTTAGTGTAGGTCCATGACATGTCGTGATTTTTCTTTTTTCTTTTGCTTTTGTTTTATATCCAACGAATTACATAAACCATTTCTTTTTGTGTTGACTGTTTTCTGTGCTGTCTCGGCTGCTGCTGAGGGGAGATCGAGACCTGTCAAGCAACTGTTATGTTGCTTTTTTCTCTGTCTTCCCTCTCCAAATGGAGAAAAATAAAGCATTTTGATTGATTGATTGATTGATTGAATGAATGACCTGTGAAACACCTGTTCGTTTTCCACCGCACGCAATCGAAGTCGCAGAAATAATTAAATAAAAACGAGCAGCGTTCACCCCCTCAACTTGCAGCCAGAACAAGCGTCCACGTGATCTGGAGCCGATTATATGAAGCCAATGTTGATCGTAGCCACGTGCTGGGGTTGGCAAGGCACAATACACACGCTGAGTTCCAGCCATTGTTATGGTTCGGCTATTGTTGTCATTGCAGCGATTGGACACGGGCCACTACCCGAATGCTTCGCGGGCTATCGATTATCACGAGCCCAAATCGAGTTTCTACGCAATGCTCGGGTCCATTCTATGAGTCGCATTCAAATATCGTCACTGGGCGGTACTGCGACCGCCCAACTACGTCATCAAGTTTTGCAAAGAGAGATTGAATAAAAATGCTCGCTTTTGTCCTTGACATTACACCACAACAAAAGAGTGTCTTGGCCATTGGCGTTGCGGGCGAGTATCCTTAAGTCTTACCAGTGATAGTAAGCTCGTGGAAAGTGAAAAACATTCCAATTGAATGTCGCTGCACCGCACCTTTAAGCTTATTATATTAAAGCAAAATTTACCTTGTAGATGCGCCTTACTATGACAGTTTGCATTTGGTCCAAATGAGCATCGTATTGGCGTGCGGCCGTCTGATAATTTCCGCATAATGCATGTTAAAAATTTCATGTCAGCAATCGTACTGTACTTGCTTATTTTCTTATCTACGCCGTGAACGATTGTCGCCATATTTCAGTGGCAAAGTGATTTTTCGTCACAACATCAGCGTCTCCTGGGCTTACATACTGTACGAAATCGTTATTTTCAAAGTAAACATCATTCACACCCTTTATGTCTCCTACCCACAAGATAAAGAATGCTTCTCCTCAACTAAAGATACTTCTCTAAAAGATACTGTCAGAATCTATATGCACGAACTTGCGACAACATCTTTCCTCATTCGTTGGTGTTCAAAACCACAATAGTGCCGACATTTCAACTACTTCTTTGAAAGCTTCATCATGACCATACTTTTCTGATCGCATTGTTATTTACAGCCAAGATCCAAAACCCGTGCACTTTTGCATCGCTTCTATATGTGCAACGGTCTAGCCTCCTATGCCCCTCCCAAACGCACTAGGGATTTCGTACGACAAAAAAAAAAAAACACACACTCTGAAGTCATTTTTTGGGTAACCATCGATCAGTTGTCATATCTGTATATTTTCCTTTTTTTCTTCTGTCATCATTCCTTCTTTATTGGCCTGAATAAAGTTTTGACAGTGTTACGAACGTACAAATTTTCATAGATAGTTCGTACATTTGATTCCGCAAATACCCCAAAATCTTCGCTCTAGTGTTGTCCAGTTCTGGGGTCACCTCGTGGATGGCCCCAGTGCGCCAGGATATTTTCTCGTCGTAAGATGACGAAAGAACCCAGCCGTAAGCAAACCCGAGTGTGAGAACGGGCCTTTGGCGACTTAACGTCGAAAAAACCCTGCAGATAAAAATGATCGACGATTTA